ACTGCTACTGCTACTGCCACTGCTACTGCTACTGCTACTGCTACTACTACTGCGACTGCTAGTGCTACTGCTACTACTACTACTACTACTACGACGACGACGACGACGACTACTACTACGACTACTACCACCACTACCGCGACCACTGCCACGACTACTACGACTACGGCGACTAGAACTAGAAATCCTTCCACCGGCGCCAGGGCCGTCCCTCCGGTGGAAGGCGATGGCCGGGAGCTGCTGAGCAGGCCAGGGACAAGGGTTGAAATTGTCGTGTTACAAACGTGTGCAGCCGCAGCAGCCGCAGCAGCAGCAGGAGGAGGAGGAGGAGTAGGAGCACGAGTAGGTGGAGGAGTAGGAGTAGGAGTAGGAGTAGGAGTAGGAGTAGGAGTAGGACTAGGAGTAGGTGTCGTAGTCGTAATCGTCCTCGTCTTGGTGGTGGTGGTGACCGTGGTAGAAGTGAGAAGAAGCGCATCAATTCAGGGCTGAGGCTGGAGGGATTCGACACGGTCGGCTTCTGCGAATCCTATATACTTGCGGGCATGGGACTGCCAAGGATCACGCGTCATTATAGGTGTCAGTATCGCTGCATGTGGAAACACCTATTGGCATGGGAAGCAAGGTGCCGGGGCTGCCCGGGGCTGAATAAGCGCACTGAGCTGCAGCAGAGGCCCAAGCACTGCCTGGGCCGAACAGGTTCCCTTCTTGTGCTTTTGTAGACGTCAGTTCAGACGGCAGTCGAGCTGCAGGCGGGTTTGCTTGCGTGCCATGGAGGTACATGAAGTCTCAAGCACCGAGATGTGCGTGCCGAACCTTCGAGCATACAAGGTGCTTGGCATATCCTAGAATCCATCCGTCAACTGGCATGGGAGCTTGACGACCTTGACGGACGCGACTCGATCCAACATCCAGAGTGGCAGGCACTCTACATGCAATTCACGACCTCCCATGTGCTTGGAACGGTTCCATACCGATGGGAGTCGCAAGCCCGGACTTACACCCACGCACAGCTTCTTGAGGTGGAGTTCGATTCTCTGAATGTCGTTGTGCTCGACGGGCCCCTCCTTCATGATGGCGGCGTGTGTGCCGAGGAGAAAGCTGCAGCCGTGAAGGTTCACCTCGAAATGTGCAGTGATCAGAAGGGGCTACTGATGCACGAGCTGGGAAAGCAAGGAAAGGCGGCCCTGGTGCGGGAGACTGAAGAGGAGTGGGAGCTCTTGGTTCCACACAACCTCCTGTCTCAGCTTAGCTTCTCGGAAAGGGTCATCGCACGTTGGCGCAGGCACCGGACACTGCCAGTGTCAAGCCATTGGCAAGATGCTGAGCAAGCCGGAACAGACCTTTGGAAGCTGTGGGATGATACTGTTGAGACCCCATGTATTCCCGACCTCGATCTGTCATGGCAAGAAAGTGGGAGCGTGGGCACGAACGAGCCGGACGTCGCTCCGTAGCTGCGCTGTCTACGGCAAAAATCCCTCCACCCTGAACGGCCCTAAATGCTAGGCCCCGAGCTCTAAGAGCCTAAGCCGTTTGCTGTGGTCGGCAAGCCTCCAGGCTCATGGAAATCAGCGGCGCCTGCCAGAAGGCTTTGGGTTTGGGGCTTTGGGTTTGGGGCTTTGTCTTAAACAGGTTAATCTAGGGTTTTGGGGACTGTTAATGTAGGGTTGCGGGGACTGTGTAGTACAGTTTCGGAGCAGCATGAATACAGGGATGTGAAGACTCAGTCAACGATAACATCCGCTTACCGTCCGTCGCTACTTTCTTCTAACATAACTACCTCCAAATCCCAGTCCAACTATTAAGGCCCCCCGAATGGTAGAGAATTAGAAGACTAAGGGTTGAGGGTCTCTTGGGGGCCTTGAGTTGTCGGGTTTTAGAGTTCACGGCTTCAGGACGCACTGGCTCAGGATTTAGGGTCCATAGGCTTAAGGGGGCTTCGGGTTTGGGAGGATGTTGGGGTTGATGGGATCAGGGTCCCGTGCAGCAAAACGACGGTGAAAGCTGCCAAGAGCTCGTGTCAAGGCGGCATTGTCTGACATGGGTGGTTGTCAAAATTATGGTCCTTTTGGGGTCCTTATTATAAATAATACGGCACCTATTATTTAGGGGGACCATAATTTTGACAACTACCCACATGCTGATTGGAAGTTTCGCATGAAGGTTCTGCTCCTGTTTTCTTGGTACTGGTGAGTGCGTACATGAAGAAAAAAGCAAAAACTAAAAGCAGATGTGTTCGTTTTAAACCCCCTAAGCCCTAACATTAAACCCTAAGCCTTAAGTGTCTCTGAGGGTTTTTGCCGAGCTTGACAGGTACAACCTGGCACGAAGCAGACGGTCGGGAACATGGTGATCCAGCGCATCGTCCACAAGGCCGAGCATCGGCGATGAGTCCTTGGAGGTTCATGGTGGGGTTAGGAGCAGGAGAACTACAGGTATAATAGGTATAACTTATAAATACTTATAACTACCCATGAACCTCCAAGTATGTCAATTCGTGATGAGTGCCCTTATCGCCACTGTTGTCAACTTGTATATCAGTACTTAAGAGTACGATTCATGCTGGGGTTCCACACGCTGCTGATTCTCAGCTGAGCCTGAAGTCGAAAAGTCACTTTGAGGCCTAAACCACCCGAACGGCTCCAGCACTCAACCCACGTCCCAGGGCATCTCAGCAATGCCGGCCCTTGCAGGAACACTGCGCAGTTTGGTCTGCGCAAGTGGGTACCGACCCGGTCATGTTCGTGGCATCGCAGGTGGCGGAGCAGCGGGTTCTGTTGGGGTCAGGAGCACGTCCGGGATTGAGAAACGGAGGGGAATTAAGCTTGTCTCAAGCATAATAAACTTGGTTTGCTTCTGGGTCTCGATGCGAGGTGGTCCTCGCCACGCCGGAGCCTCCAGAGGCAGTGCTGTGGGCTCTGTATTCTGCCGAGGAGATCGGGGGGCATGCGAGCCTCGCTTCGGACCTCCTGTTCGAGACAACCATTTCTGACATCATTATTCCAATCAGTCTCATGCTGGACTTGTTTTTGGTGTTTGTCATGCAGCATTCGATATTGTTGTGCGAGGCTTATGACGTTGTCATATTCGCATGTATGAACAGTGCCTTGCATTGCCATTGTTCTTTTTTCAGAGTAACTCGTTTAGTGCTCTTGCCCTCATCGATCGTCATGGTGGCCCTGCTGGAGCTGCTGCTGGTACGTACGACCACCACCACCCCCACCACCACGATCAGCACAACCACCACAACCACCACAACCATCAGACCCACCAACACGACAACCACCACGACGATGACGACGACTATCACCAATTACTATAATAGTAATTGGTGATATGTGACATAGCCACCAAAGCCAAAAACAAGTATGTACTTTTCCAAGAGACAAACACCAAAGTTGTGTATTGTTAGTCTTGTTGGTGCTACCGCGGCTACAAGCACTGCTTACCAAGAGTATGCTGATGACTATAGAAGCAACATGCTAATGCCGGCAATACTACGCACAACAGCGCAACAATGCCGAATAACATAGGGGCCTAAATAATTGCCAATACTATTTCGGGGTTCCTTAGTATAATTATAGTACAATATACCCCGAAACCCTATTCTAATTATCAAGGCCCCAAAATCAATCACGATCACCGTTGCAGTGATCCGCTGTCCGAAGTTCAATGGCTCGATCCAGGAGCGACTGAAGTGGGATGGTGGCTCGTTTTCAGCCTACGAGGCCTGTCTCTGTTCTTTGATCTGGGATGTTGCTGGTTAGTTACATGAGCTACGTGCAACAATGCCGAGTTTGGGAAGTCTTGGATGGGGGACACACAGGTCTGAGCATAATGATGACGATGCGGACTGGACTTGACCATGGCACTTTGAGAATCAGTCGTAATTGGGTTCCTGTGGTACAACAAAACCGAAGCCTCCAAAGACCCGCTTGGATCCTTGCCTTCCTGCGACTCTGAGAGTCGAGACTTGATCATGCATCCAACTTTAAAGGCGGATTCTTTGCATATAGTATATAGTCTGTAGTAGTATATAGTATATAGTATATAGTTTATGGTATATAGTATATAGTATGTAGTGTATAGTATATAGTATATAGTACATAGTATATAGTATATAGTATATAGTATATAGTATTCCGAACCCCTCGTAAAGATGATTCTTCGGGTTCCCTTAGACTGTTCTGCGCAGAGCGCCTTGGGTCGGTGAATTGCAAGCTACCTACTGTTCTGGCTCCAATCAAGGTGCTTACTTGGAGGATCATGGGACTTAGTAAGTAAGGTTATAAGTCCCCTAATTGGGGTTATAAGTATAGTTCCTAAGTCCCATGATCCTTTAAGTAGAACCCCAGTGAAAACCACCCATGAACGCCCTGCAGTCCTACTCCTGAAACCCTGTACGAAGAAACTTTCACCACGAAGATCAGGCCTGAGGAGTCAATCTCGGCAACTAACACCGCATGGGTTCCGGGTGTGTGGGAACCCCTAAGGCTTAGGTTCGGCCCTACACTCCTACACCCTGAATCCGCGCTCATGATATCTACAAAGCCGAACCCGAAGCTGAATCCTCAACGGCAGTTCGAGCGAGCTCCTCATGGTCATTCCAACCCCCACAACCGCCATCCGACACGAACCCGGTGCGTTCAGGTTTTGGGTGATCCGCAGGCGCCCGGGCAACCGAACTCTTCACCTCCTTGGTGTGGTTCAGAATGCAGGGCATCTGGTTTGTTCAGGGTTGGGGCTACGCTGCTTGAGATCTGAGGGATACTTTGTTGAGGCTTCTCTGGTGCAAGCTGCCAGGCTTTTTGCGCAGGAGTTATGGGAGTTTAGGGATCCGGCTCTCGGAGTGTTGGGTGTTTCTGGCTTGTAGCATATAGTATATAGTATATATCATATAGCATATAGTATATAGTATATAGTATATCGTATATCGTATATAGTATATCGTATATCGTATATCGTATATCGTATATAGTATAGTATTTCATACAAGATCAGGGAACGTGGCAAGTCGGGCTGTGAGTAAAGTAACAAATCCGATAAATGCACGAACGTAGCCCCAATCAACGTACTTGCCAAAGTTGTCCGTATCTCTGCAACTCATGTAGCGGGGGATCTTAGAGGATGATAATCACATGTCAGCGTTGTACCCTTACAGTAGAAGTTAATGGTGGCACATGCTCCGGTGAGCAAGCAGCGCCGATGGTGGGCTTCCGCTGCCATCCTGATCCTACAGCCTGAAGCCCAACTAGCTTCACCCTAGCCCTGAGTCCCAAGCTTTGCACGAAGCTCTGAATTTTGACAAACGAAGAGATGTTTCGAAGCATCCGTTTGTAACTGCAGGGTTTGTATCTGGTATGTTGGGCTGGAAACCTCCCTGTAGTCACCATCAGCTCACAGAATCAGTGAGCAACTCAAGCATAATTTGCTACGCGCAGACTAAGACTAAGACACACCAGACTTGAACGCGTTGCAGGTGCAAGAGGCCACCGGAGCTCTTTGCGATTTCCTCTACTGCCGCATCCACCTTGTCACAGGTCTGCCTGTGGGAGTCGCACTGATCAGTGCTCCTTCCTTGAACATGTGAATCACTTATCCTGGTGGCATTCTCAAATCGCGAGACCAGAGCGTATCAACGCTTCTGTGGAAGCTCCATGACAGCTTTCCTGGCAGTAGCAGAAGCCTGTACAGGGATGCCCTAGTTGGTGTAGCGAATCTAGACTTCTTGACTTCATGTCCATGCCACGACCAGAACAAGACGACCAGCAGCACTGCCACGCTGGGAAGAGCAAACGGGCATTCTGTTTGGGATTTTCGGTATGAGGATGTTGATAGTAATGGTAATCATCAGGAAGATGTTGTTGTCAAGTCTTTTACCTTTTCTGCTTGTCATCTTTCTTAGTCGTGTTAGGCTCATGGTTCAGCATCTCATTGGCGTCTCATGTCTTGTCGGGATTCACGTTTCGTGGCCGGAGAGCGATGAAAATCTCTGATGCCTGGCAGGCGTGACGGATCGGGACATGGTGCAGGCAGGGCCCTGCTCGTGTCAGCATCTTCAGCATCCTTGCCTGCGTTAAATGGTTGTGACTTCGGCGGGCCTTATTTCCGGAAATAATCCGTCTTGCATTTTCGCTATGAACTCAGCGATGGTTATGCAATGTTATGCAGATTGTGACAGCCAGCAACCGACCTGCGAGCAGGAGTAGGAGTAGCGAGGGCAACAGCAGCGCCGTCGTCCTCACCCAAGTCCCGAAATCTACACCCCAAACTCCCAAACCCCGGACACACCCGAAACTCCCGAAATCCCAGATGATGCACGCTCAAGCCACCCAACCCCTCAAGCGCTGAAGCTATATCATGCTATACTATAGAAGATACTATACTATACAGTGCTGCACTATACTATACTGTACTGTACTATACTATACTATACTCTGTTATGCTATACTATGCTATACCATACTATGCTATACTATGCTATGATATACTATACGACACTATACTATACTTTACTATGCTCTGTACTATACTATGTACTCTGTTAAAACCTTCTTCAAGCGCCCTCCGCCATCGCACCTGTGCAGGAGCGCTTTCTGCTCCGCCTCGCAGACCGAGGTGCGACCTGCCCTCGAAGGGTTCATAGTGTACATAGTATAACAGAGTAGTATAGTATAGTATAGCATAGTATATAGTAAAGTGTATAGTATATAGTATAGTATTTTTGATATGGTATACAGTACGTAGTATATCGTATCTAGTCGAAAAGTATATAGCATATGGCATATGACATGTGGCATGTGGCATATAGCATATAGCATGTAGCATACAGTATATAGCATATAGCATATAGTATATAGTATATAGTATATAGTATAGTATAGGAAACTCATACAGGGTGCGCATGCAATTTGGTCAGCGAAGCAGGCCATGGAAAGGGCTCATGATGTCGCGGCGATATTCGGTTTTGAAGCAAAAGCTCCGGGGTGGTGTTGATATGGGCGAGATCGACAGGAGCAAATCTCTGTGTTTTGCAGCTTCCCAAGTCAACCTCGTGATGGTGGGGATTTTGCTGAACTGACGGTCGGGTATGCAATCAGGAATGACCCTCAAAGACACAGTGCGCACAGCCAGCTGGAGATGCAACAAAGCAGAAACAGAAGATCCTGCCCGGGTGACGAAGGTCTCACTGCAGAACCTTTGAGGGGTGCATGTTTGCCCCTTTTTGCACGGATGATCTGGCCACTGGCCATTGCTAGGTCGACAAGTCGCATCAATGCAAGGGCTGCTTCTCGAAGCCGCAGAGATGGGATCAACCCAGTCGAAGGTCATACCTGCAGAATTGGACACGAATGAAGATTTTGATCAGACGCTCATGGTCTTGACAGTCACATGGCATCATGGAAAATGCACCTTCTGAAGTAATTCCAAGCCAGAACCTGTGCGGAAAGACTTTTCAATGATGGATTTGTGGCTAAAAGCACTTTTGAAGCTTCCCTCACAGCTGCTCTGCTAGGCGCCCCATATGGTGTCGGAAGTTTTTTTGAGACCCACCCTCCCTGCTAGACCCCAAGCCCTGAGATCGAAATCCCACACCGCTAGACAGCGCGCCCTCCAGGCTATGCCATAGCCATCCGTGCCTGCAGTGATGGCCAGTCCCGTGCTTTGGGGCTCTGGGCTCAGAGCCTGAAAATCGGAGGTCATGGCTTCGCACTGCTGGGGCTGCGAGGTGTACATAGGGGTTTCGGAGATCGGCTTTTGGAGGAGTTCAGATTTGAAGGTCTTGGCTTCAGGTCTTCGGTGGCTTGTGGGCCTTGTTTGGCAGGGTTGGGTTGCTTCGTGGCATCTCGTGCCGCTGCTGCTCCACCACCTACACCGTGTGACGACGACGGCGCGGCTAAGAACTACACACAGTCGTGATGCGTTCCTCCTGGTGCTCATCGTCGAGTGTCCCATGTCAGTGACGCTCAGTGTCTGAGTTGAAATCCTGCAAACACAATATACATATTCCTTGTCTTCCATGTATATATATATATATATATATGTATATATATATATATATAGAGCCCGACACTCCCACAGTAATTTCTCGTCCACTTCAGAGGACTATCCAACCAGGGCTCCCCGAAGCTCACGGCCTTGAGGTCAAGACCTTTTACAACAAGACTCCTGCCCGAAGCACTAACGGACCAATGCCCTACCCCCAGAATCCTGGGGTGGTAAGTCTTTCGGCCTTCAAGCCCCAATGCAATGCCAACTTCAAGCCTTCAACCCTAACTCCAAACCCACACATTTGACACAACCCGCAACCAGCGGTCCAGAGGCGTGCCCCGGTCTCTAGCGTGGTGCGCGCCCGAACCATCATCTCCGGGTGCGCTGCGCCGGTTGCCTTAGGAGCGCAGGGAGCGTTTCAGGCTTGTGGGTTTAGGGGGGCAGGGTTGGCATTTGGGGTTTAGGGCACCGGCTGTAGGGCTTCCCGTTCACACCTTGGCCCTTTTGGCGGTGACACGGATAAGAGTGTCTCAAGCTTCGAGATGTTCTTGCGGTACTTAGAATCAGCAGTCAAGTAGTCGTGCAGACTCTAGGCGCGCAGTTGCTTTCGCTAGCGTCTTAGAAATGCCCAGATCCACAGCATGCTTCGTGGCCAGGTACATCATCCAGCCGAATCCGGCAGGAGCAGGCGGGCAGACTTACCAGCTCTTTCGCTTTTAGCGACACACAGGCAGATAGGTTTCTGGAGAACTGGCAACATGCTTCGTTGCCTTCAGGAGGTGTTCCGCAACAGGGGATCAGCCGTCGAAGTTAAGATCTGGGCACTGCTTCAGCTTTCAGCAGTCCTCGGTGTCTTCTGGCGTGTAGTAGTTTTCGTCTAAGCTCTCGGCTCAGCTTGTCAGACCCTGGGTGATATCATCGTGGCTGCATCTTGTGCAGTTGATCGTATGAAGCCTGGAGGTCAGCATTTGGTGGTGTCTTTTACATTTTACTTTAGTTTGGCTTCTTCGACGGGTCGGGGCAGTATCTTGACCGATATTGCTGCAATGCTGTCTTTACCACCACTGTTCCTATGATGACGACGGCAGCGGTTGCTGGTGTTCTACTCCTACTACCCCTCCCTCAGGCGTCCTGGTGACCGGCGTCTCCCAGACGGACCTCGGGGGCAACGTGCCGCTGTGGTTCCAGGGCCTTGTCAAGAAGGCCTTTTCTCCCACAGCAAAAGCCTCTAAGCAGGGTGATTGCTGTTTGGGAGCTGATGAAAATGTGGGAGCTTGCATGAAGGATTCTTGTGTTCTGTCAACAATGCTGATGAAGTCGATGGCGTGGTGGCTGCTACATCATGATTTACCCGCCGTGATTGTCACGTGGGAAGGACATTTCCGGTGACACTCAAGAAACCGAGGGGTCACGAGCCCAGCGGTGTGCGGCTTTCGGACTCCTGCAGTCGAAACGGCTCATTGCCAAAACTCCCGATCCCACTCAGAAACCCTAAACCCTGAAAGCCGAACGCCCCAAGCCCTAAACCCTGAAAGCCAAGATCCCAAGACCCAAATCCACTTTAAGTTCGGAAGCCAAAATTCTCAAGAGCCAATTCCTAAATCCTGAGATCCAAGAATCCCAAGAGCCGGGCTCGGGTTCGGAATGCGGCGCTTGCAGGCCGGGCGCAGAAAGCCTGTGGAATGGGCGCAGCGGCTAGAGGACATCTGCCCTTGACGTAATCATATGGGAGTTTCAGAAAATTGGGGGTACCTTATTTGGGGGTCCTTAAAATCGGGATCCTACTCTTTAGGGTGCTATATTATGTTCCCCTATTTTCGGAAACCCCCATATGAGGGTTTTGCAGATTAAAGTACGACTCAGCTTTAAATGGAACGACTGCCGCCGAGGGACATGACACGTTGCAAACAGCTAAGCATGGTGCGCGACCATGCGGCTGCCGCCCTGACCTTGAGCGCAGATCTGTTTTCTGTCCGATGAACCAGGATGATGTTGTTGCGGACGGTGATGGTAATGGTGGTCGTGTGTCGTGATGGTGATGGTGCTAAGAGGTTGATGGTGAGGATGAGGAAGGATTTTGAATCGGTTAAGTATCACCTTGGTGTGGGTCACACCTGCATCGAACTTTAAGAAGTTCCGGAAGATGCACTCGCCCTGATGGTTTAGCAGTCCATCAAAGCCCAGCAGTCTAGGTGCCAGTGTAGTTGTAAATGTCGGGAATCCGCTCCACCTGTATCCTACATATGATAAGTATGACACCCAGTGCCACCTGCCGCGAAAGCCAAACGGGTAGTTGTCAAAATTATGGTCCCTTTTGGGTACCCTAAATAGTAGGTGCCGTATTATAATAAGGACCCCAAAAGGGACCATAATTTTGACAACCACCCAAACAGGACCACTGCAACATGAGGGCAGGTTTAGACGTGGCAAGCCGGAAGCTCACCTCCTGTCTGCAAGCGGATCAGGGCTGTGACAAATTCTATGGGAGTTTCCGAAAATTGGGGGTACCTTATTTCAGGGTCCTTATCATAGGGATCCTATTATTTAGGGTACTATATTAGGGTCCCCTATTTTCGGAAACCCCCATATACACTCACCACTGCCACTTGGTCTTGGAACAAATGTCGTGAAGTGCTAGTAGAGCATAGGAATTTCTTCGGGCTGGAACGGCGTCGACAGGTGTTGGTAGGCTGCACCGCGATTGCCAACAAACGGGCACTCCTGAACCCTCACCGCGACATCGCAAATTCTGCATAGACCCCCAACGACAATCCTTACCTTTAAAGTCCTGGGGTTTAAGGTTTAGGGGTTCAGGGTTTAACAATCCTTATCCTTAAAGTCCTACATAGGTCACCCAGAGAGCCCAACCTTTCAGCTCCAGCCATGGCACCCGGAAGCCAACTGTCCTAAAGCCCAAGCAGTAGTCTCGAGTTCAGTGTTTGAGTCCAGAACCCAATGAACCCTTGCACCCCACTTGACCTGAACAAACCGTAAATTTGTAGCCCCCCCCCCCTTGCTTGGCTCTCCGGAAGATCGATCCCGAAGGCAGACCTCTGAGTTTGGAGGAGTGCAGGCTTGCTTCAGGGAAGTTTGTGTGAAACTCAGTAATACCCGAAACCCCGAACCTAGTCCCTGCAGCTTGACGGTAACTCTAAAACCTAAACCCTAAACCCTAAACCCTAAACCGATGAGGTCGACAAAGGCTGACGTTTTCCGCCTTGAGAAGCAAAGCACGAGGTGCAGCTGAGCTCGATCGGATAGCGCCGATCAACCCCTGGTTTAGGGATGATGGTCGAAGGCTTCAGGGGTGAAGGGCTAGGGGTGTTCAGCTGGAGCTTAAACTCAAGGGGTCACAGGTGGGAGTTTCAGAAAATTAGGGTACCTTACTTTGGGGTCCTTATAATAGGGATCCTATTGTTTAGGGTACTATATTAGGGTCCCCTATTTTCGGAACCCCCCAGGTGTATTGCGTTTTTTACTCGCAGTTTCGGGCCCAATGGCTTGGGTTTCTGCCGACTCTGGGGCGTTTTCCATTCGCCACCGTTAGCTCGATCGGCTTAGGGGTTTGGGGTGTTAGGTGCAGCTAAAAAGATGAGGATTCAGGGAAAAGGATCGGGTGGATCAGAGTGTAGAGTAGAGAGAGAGCCAGGGTTGATGAAGGCATCGGATCTGCGACACTTATGATGGAGAGGTAAGAGAAGGCCGCGCCACAGTTGGGCAATACCGGCTTGTAGTGGCGTTACTGAACGTGCCCTTCCTGGTAGCGTGTCCTCAAAAATCGTTTTTCTCATAGCGGTTGTTCTTGTAGCTTTTCTGAGTGTTGGTGTTTAGATCAGGCATGTTGAAGGCTGCGCTTGCATGGGTGTGGACACTGTCGTGATCGTTCATCGATTTCCTTTGCATCGGGCTGTCCACGTTTTGACTGGTTTGGGTTGATTCCTTTTCTGCAGGTCGGAGGGCTGCACCTCAAGTTTTCAAGGAACTGCACCTGCTGACAGGTTGGACCAAAGAGTTCGCGGCCCAGCATCTTGGGAACGGGGCAACGACAAGGAGCCTTGTCCCAGCTAGCTGAACCGGAGTACCTTCATCCAGGCAATCCCCAAACCCCAACCCTAAACTTGATTCCTTCGGCTTGACGTCCGCACCTCTAAGCCACGCGCTTCTTCAAACGTGACCCCAGAACATTCAACCTAATTCAACAACAACAACAACAGCAGGAGCAACATCAACAGCCACAGCAACAGCTACAGTTACCGCTACGACAACAAAGCAGCCGCAGCAACAACAACAACAACAGCAGCAACAACAACAACAACAACAAGAACAACAGCAGACACAACCACAATTGCAACCACAACCACAACCACAGCAACATCAACAGCAACAGCACACAGAGCACACAGAGCACACAGAGCAAACAGCAACAGCAACGACAACGACAACAGCAACAGCGGCAGCGGCAAACAGCAAACAGCAACAGCAACGACAACAATTACAAACAACATGTGCAATTGGTACTTGTATGGATGATGGCACGAAGAACACCCGGGATGCGCGAAATGCAATCCAGCGGCGGTGTTGTTCTTAGCGACCACTCAAGCGCATCATCGACTATCGTCGTCGTCCTTGTCGTTGTCGTCCTCAAAAGTTTCCTCATCTCCCTCGCATGAAATTTCTCCTCCCCACAGCATCGGCATGATCATCGTCATCGTGGCCATCTCCGTCCAGCTGAGAAGGTGATGCTAACGGACTCTGTCACTGTCTTGAAGTCCAGCTTGCCCGAGGCTGGCACAAAGCCCATGCTTTCCCCGCGATGGGGCCACGACGAGGCCAACGATTGCTACTCGTACAGCCTGTTACCAGCGCGATTAGTGTGATAGTATCTATGCGTTGACTACAATTGTTGTTAGTGCAGCTGCTGCTAATGCCACCACTAGTTCGACGACGACTACTTCCCAATAGGCGGATTCGAACGGTCTCAGCCAAAAGGCAAGAGCAGCAAAGTGTTCGAAGAATACCCGATTCTAGTTAGGTTCGCATGTTGCTTGGGAGGCGGTCAAGACCTGCTTCGCCAACACGTGCAAGCTCGCTAGACACCCAGGAGACGTGTAATGGAAGGGTCCAGGGTTTGGCAGAGGGGTCGGTGCATAGGTTCGGGGGCCAGTTTAGGGTTATCCACATGCGCTTACATCTGGCATGCTGTGCAATGCATGTAGTTGTAGATGGGGCATAGTCAGATGTTGTTGAGCGGGTGCGGGCCCTCGAGGTACCTACATGGGACGTATCAGTGATCGCAGCCTTCTCTGCTCAGGTCACATCAGCCACAGCCCGGCCGTGCACAGGCAAACTCCTTGTGAGCGACCCACGCCTAGGAAAGCAGGAAGAGCAGTTAGGAAGTTCCAACTTCTCAAATAGATCTTTGCTTTTGTCTTGCGCTAAGCGTTTTGCAAGTGACCGGGGGCAGGGGAGCTGCGCACAGCGCAAAGTCTGTGTCAAGACCCTGCGGTTTTGCTGGACTGGGGGCTGACATGCCATGTAGGCAGTAGTCTTGTTGCAGAAGTCGTGCTGGTAACTGGTAGCCTTGAGAATGACGAGATGAATGCTGACAGCTGACTCTTCCCCGGGCCATCAAAGCCAATGTGCTAGTGTCTATGTATGTATATAGTACGTTTCTATGTACGTCTGTCTGTCTGTCTGTCCGTTCGTCTGTCTGTAGGTTTGCATGTACGCATATATGCATGCACGCATCAGTGCAAATGCTAGTGTATGCACCTAGTTTTCTTCATCCAGGTATTTGCAGGTTCAGAAGGAGGAGGAAGGGTCGTCGTCGTAGTAGTAGCAGTAGCAGTAGTAGTAGTAGTAGTAGTAGTAGTAGCAGTAGCAGTAGCAGTAGCAGTAGCAGTTGTAGTCATCGTAGTCGTCGTCGTAGTCGTAGGCGTCGCGGTTGTTGTAGTAGTCGTATTCATAGTAGTTGTTGTAGTCGTTGTAGTGGTCGTAACAGTCGCAGTCGTAGTGATGGCAGCAGTCGTAGCTAGCAGTAGTAGTCGTCGTAGTACTAGTACCAGTACATACTGTATACCGCTTGACCCAGACAAGCTGAAAGAGCCTTGAGCTCCGCAGGCACAGTTGCAAGATGCCAGTTCCGATTTTATCTGGAGGTGCTCAAGATCTAGCCGATAGGCTACGTGCATGCATACATAGGT